TAAAGGAGTTTGCCACCACTGCCTGGCCTACCTGCTGCTCTTAACTTTACTGCCATGTAGCAAAGCTTGTCCTGGGGAGATACAACATCAATTTACCCCAGGTAGGAAACCCATGACAGAGTCAAGTATGGGTATCACAGAAGTCCAACTTGGGGGAACCAATGAGTTTTACGGTGGTTTCTTACAGGAATATGAGCAATGGGTTACTTACTGAAGCAGAAATGACTCACAGACAACGGCATCACCAAAGGCCACCCCAGCATGGGTCACAGCTCACAAATCTGGGAACCTGAAACATACTGAACAGCCTGAAGGCAGCTCACCAGGTTGAGGAGTGTCCTTTCCAGGTGCCTCACTAAGTCTAAACCTCTTCCAGGCGCTTGACTGATGTCTGCTTCTGCCAGGCTGCTGTTCTGGTCTCAAAGTCTTCTTGACTGGTCTGTATATTTTCTTCACTGCTCAGCTTCCTAGCGTCTGAGGAGGACTCTCAGCTTTTGTTACTTACTCTGGCAGGGAGGGGCCTAGTGAATCTGGTGAGTTTCAGGGACTTCCTGAAGCTATTTTGAGTTTTTTTTTTCTTCCAGCTTAAAGAGCTTCACTGCAGGATGGACTATTTCAGTCTCCATGGAAACTGTTACACAACAGTCTCTCACTGACTCCCCAAATCTCAGGGCTGGCTGGTGAGTTCTGGAGATCTACCTGCTTCTAACCCCTTATTCAGGGATTTCAGGTGTGCCCTGCTAACTCAGTTCCCGATTCAAACACTCTTCAAACCCTGAGGATCTCCTCAGTACCAATTCTAGCTACTTTTAAGGAGTCTCCAAATACTGTACGGAAGCCAACGGTGTTATGTGGTTCTTCTGTGTTTTTAGCCCATGGCCTTGAAGGGTCCTGAACATTGTGAAATGATTTTTCTTCCTTGTCCTCTTTGAGTGTCTTCTTCCACACTGGGCATGGCAATTTGCTGAAAGCTTGGCAAAAAAAAAAAAAAAAAAGAAGTAAAGAAAACCATGCCTCCTCTCTCTTCCACAATAGAAGTACCACCCACGCAGCGTCAGTTCCAGATTAAGTGATCAAACAGCACCTGAAATTAAGCTTTTAAACATGAAAATCAATCAAGCCCAAAGAATTTAGCTCAAAATGATGAGGTGTTTAAAAGAAGTAGGCTGAGGAATACTGAGAAAAACAACTTAAATTATTAAATCAGGGTTTTCATAGTTTGGGAAATGCTCCAATAACGTCAGATTAAAAATGTAAATTTATTTACGTTCCACAGAGTTTTTATGAGACCTCTTTTTAAGGTTGACTGCCTGTTTGTTTATGAATGGGTTTACTACCTGGAGAAGGGAACCATTACTGGGTGTGCTGGACACATTCCTTGTCATTTGTCGCTAACTGGATGAGGGAAGTCTCCTGTGACTTCTGACTTGTTAGTTAACTAATGTATAATTAGCTTCCCTGAAAATGCAAAGGGCATTCAATTTTGTGGGTTTTTATTTCTGAACTTAGTGCAAAATGTTCCTGTGATCTAAAAAGATGGTTTCTTCCCAATTCATTTCTTCCCTCCTCTGCTCCATGACTCTGTGGGGGTGTTTGTAATACAGAAATTATGACATTAAAATTTCCTTCATGTCTGTGGACTTTGATGTCTGTAATAGAAGGTCAGGAGGTCTTTGAGGCAGAATTAGTCAATGGAGAAACCAGGATGGGGAAAATCCTTTAATTCAGTGACCTTTAAGAGGACCCATTCTGCTACAATACAAGGAACCCTAAGGGGTCATGTGCTTACACAGGAAATAAAAGGTCAGTTACATCAGTACTGTTTCAGAGAAATGCATTGTGAGTCCTACACACAATACACACAGACACACAGACCCACATCACAATTCTTACATGAAGGTCAGAGGACAGCCTGCAGGAGCTGGATCTTGCTGTCTACCTTGTGGGGTCTGGGGGCTGAATTTAGGTCATCAGGCTTGGGGAGCAAGTGCCTTTACTGGATGAACCTTCATGCCAACTCAGCTACATTAAAAAAAAAGTGATGAAAGGTCTATAGTTGCAATAGTATGTGTTACCACATCACCAAAGTAAAGTTACTGCTTTTTCATGTTCTGTTTGGTACTGTCTTTGAAATCTACTTCACATATTACGTTTGAAGCATTCGCCAGAGTAGCCACATTTCAAGTGCTTAGAGCAATCCAAAGGAACTTAGCTTAAGTCTACCATATTCAACGCTGGAGGTCTGTGAAGTTCAAGGACAATGCTCATCTTGTCCATAGTCCACAGGTGGTTTGTATACTTGTATTGGTTAGTTTTCATGTCAACTAGACAAAAGCAAGAGTCGTTTGGAAGAGGGACTCTATGGAGGAAATGCCTTCATCAGATTGCCTGTAGTGCCCTTTAGTTTTTGATTACTTGATGTGGGCGGTCCCAATGGGATGAGTGAGTGTGGGGTATGCCACTTCTGGGCAGGTGTTCTGAGTAAGAAAGCAGGCTGAGCAAGCTAGGAGGAGGAAGTCAGTAATCCTGAGTGGTCTCTGCTTCAGTTCCTGCTCCGATTTCCCCCAGTGATGGACTGTGATCCTGGTGTATAAGCAGAAGTAAATCTTTTCCTCCCTTAGTTGCTTTTTGTCAAGGGTTTTAACGAAGGAAGAGAAACCCCAACTATGATATACACATAACGAACCCATTTTTTTTCAACTGAGAAAGAAAAAGAAATATATCCGTGACAAAAGCATTCCCTTGATAAGTTGTGCGCCCCCCCCCATAATTGTTCCTTAGTTTCAGGACTGGCCATAGGTAATAAATTACCCTTTTAAGGGGACAGACAACTGCACATCTTAAAAAGTGAAGGGAGAATTTTGGATAGAGCAAGATATTCATTAACAAATGCCAGCTAATTTTTCTCCTGAAATTTCGTGACTATATTAAATGTGAAGTCAGTTGGTTCCTAGAAGTATTAGCCTGACAGTTTAAACACACACACACACACACACACACACACATACACGTTGACTCAAGAATGACTTTTAAAAATTAAAAAAATATTTTTCCATACAGGGTTTCTTTCTGTGTGCACTGGATTTCCTGGAGCTCATGTTGTAGACCATGCTGGCCTTGAACTCACAGAGATCCATCTGCCTCTGCCTCTCAAGTGCTGTCATTAAAGACACAAGGTATCACTGCCTGGCCTTTTTAAATTCCAGTGGGGAATTTTCTCAAGCTCAGCATTTTTGGGGGAGTGGGTACTGCAACCATTAGATGCATCAAAAAAAAAAACCTCTTCTTGAGAATAAAATTGTATTAAACACAGAATCAACTTTTGTTTGTTGGCTATTTCCATTATTGTAGCTTCACTCCAGTGGCCATATCATTTTTGAAGTTGCAGCTAAGTTTCGCGTTTTATGAATTGGGATTGTTTACTATGGTAAATAATTTGTTTTGATATATGGCTGTGAGATCTGGCTTCAATACTGGAATCTTTTGAGCCAGGGGGAAAATGTTTTTGAGTCCCAGATTCCTCATTTGTGTCACAGAGACCACACTGTCTGTCTCGGAGATTGTTGTGAAGGTTAAACGTGACCATGAGAGCAACAGATACCTCCTATTCACATCTTCTTGCTGCTTTCTGGTGGTTGCTAAGTGAGATTCAGTCACACTAGCTGTTTTGAGTCACTATTGGCTATAAGCCTATGTATTGTAATAAATGACTTGCGGTTGAAACTATAACCTAATGAACACGCACAGTCTTCTGGATAGTAACCTAGAGGCAGCTTAGATGAGCACATGGACTTAAGGTCTGCAGGGAGGCTGTCATGGCTTCCACTGGGGCTGAGGTCTCATTTGAAGGCTTAATTGGGGAAGATCCTTGTAGGGTGTGGATCTTTGCAGGCTGTTGAACTGACCAGCTCTAGCCTGGAGGCCTGTGCCTTATTTTTTGCCACATGAACTTGTCCCTGGGGAAGTTTGTAACACAGCGGTTGCCCAAATGTTTCCTAAAGTTGAAACAAACCGGCAGCTCTGGGGCAGGGCCATTGTCTTTCCATGTTCTTAATGTTCAGAGGCAAACAAGCATCCCTAGGGGAACTTGTTTACTTGCCTAAGTATCATTATCGAAGATCTCTTCACAATGTCCTTTCTCCTGCTTAAAGAGATTTATTCTCATTACTTTTATATATGTGTATCTGCATGTGGCGTTGTGAGTGAATGTCATGTGTGTATCCCCAGAGCTCAGAAGTTACTGGATTGCATGCAACTGGAGTTACAGGCTGCCAGGTCCTCTGGAGGAGCAGTGGGTACTCTTAACTGCTGAGTCATTACTCCAGTCCTATAATATGCTTTCCTTAAAAAAAAAAGTGTGTAATGCCCAGCAATGGAAACTGTAAAGCTTTAGGGGCCTTAAAACTCTCCGAAGTTCATGGGGGTAGTCTCAGTGTTCTTAGATCTTGGGATGAAATTTCTTCTCTGCTTCTCCTGTGGCTCCAGGAAATAGACTCAGAATCACTTGACTTGTTAGAAGCCTATTGAGTTGGAGTGTACTTTTTAACATGGTCCCCAAGCCTGCCTGACATATCTTAGAGTTTGGGAAGCAATGGTGGTATTTTACTCTCACAAAAAACAAAAACGAAAACAAAATCCGTTTTCTCCTAAGAATGGGTTCTTTGAAATTCTTTCTCCCTTTGAAAGCACTTCTTTTACAGTTAAGAATCTCCCTGAGTTCTGGGGAGATGATGACTCTTGCGTCCCTTAGGATGTAGAACAGGGAAACGGGGCCGAGCGCAAAGTAGGAGCAAGTATGAGGGCCTCGTATTCTGACCCCTGAGGTAGCAATTACTGGATCTGCAGAACCCTCTCAACCCGGCCCCTGGGCAGAGTACCGGCGGCGACTCTCAGCTGAGAGCTTGCAGAACTTGGCTGAGCCCTCCGGCCTGGGAGGGCGGGGGCGTGGCCAGGCCGGCGAGAGGGCGTGGCCGGCGCCGGGGGGCGGGGTCTGACCGAGGCCGCGGGGCAGCGACGTCGCTGGGCAGCGGAGCGGCGGCCGCGCCATGTGGCTGCTAGGGCCGCTGTGCCTGCTGCTGAGCAGCACCGCGGGTGAGTGGGGGACTCGCGACGCACTTCACCGGGCCCGGGGCGTGGGGGCTGGCCGTGACTGTCCCTGCCCCGCGCGCGGGCCTGGGCTGCGGGCGTGGGTGTCCGCGGAGGGCGGACCCGGGCGCCTGGCTGGCCGGGACCCCGCGAGGGGCCGCGGCGGGGCGCGCGCCGTGCTATTGTGTGGGCCGGCGCGCCGGGTGCTGTTGTGTGTTCGCGGGCGGAGCTTTGTGTGGCGCCCGCTCCCTGGAGCCCGGCGGCCGCCCGGATTGGGCGTAGCTCGAGCGTGGTTCAGTGTGCTGGGAACGGAGGAGGGGAAGGCGAGCACTGATTTCGGGTCTTCCCTGACTCCCGCAGCCTTTAACGTACACTTTCCTGCCTCCCTACCCCATCTACGCTGCCCTCGCATCTGCATCCCAGCTTCCCTTCTCTTCTTCCTGGGACTGTGTCTGGTTTGGGAATACTGAGATCCAGTTGGACTGGACTTGGCAGTCACTCGCTCATCCTGGGAGCAGATCTTTTACTTCTGTCTGTCGCAGACGCCTTAACCTGCCCTACGGGCAGCCGGCAACAGAGGACCCGGGGCTTCCTCTAACGACCGTTGGTCCTTGCACCTCAGAACGCTTGTATCCTGAGACCCGCAGGGTCCCTCCCAGGCAGAGAGCTGTTCCCAGGAACTTTTCTGCTGATGTGGGCACGCTCCGAATTCCAGCTTGGAGCCCTTCCCCTCTGCCTCTGCCCGCCGGCCACAGCTGTCAGCAGTCCCTCCTCAGCCCTGCCCACCCTTAACCCCTGATGTTTATTTCTGGGCAGCTGATGCTCACTGAACTTTCTTTACTGAAGATTTCTTGTACTGTATTTGGGTCACTCCTTGCCTAATTTATATTGGATTTCCCCAAATGCTCCTAGAAGTGTTTGTGGGGGGAAGTTCATTCTGAGCTACCTCTTGCAGATGCCAGGGAACCCTTCCTTCCTGGAATTCGCGGGTCCTGAGCATCTTTCCAACCCAGTGGCCGTCCCCACCCTCAAGACATCATCCCTACTCTTCTGAGACTCCATTTAAATGTCTGTGGGTTTGCTCAGCTTCCAGTGAAGGGCTAGACTCCTGTGGTGGCTGTGGTTTTTTAAGCCAGGTCTGAGGCCCTGTGTTCTGTTTGTCTTGAGTTATGGGGGAGGGGGATAGAGAAAGAGGGAGGGAGGAAGGAAAAGAGGGAGGGGAAAATGAATTAGGCAGCTATAAGCAGGTGCAAGTTATTTGGAGGCTGTTAGAGCAGGCTGCGTTCCAGGGCATCTCAGACATGAAGATCTGCCTGGATGCACACATTTGATTCACATAGCAATGGCATGTCCCCTGGTAACACCCAAGCTGGCTCTTGTGTATGTTCACTGCTTATGGCCAGTGGACACTAATGATCTCATCTCCTGGTTGTAGGGGGTTGAGTCTTGAGTTCACAAAAAATTATACATATTTCTCTCTGTCAGCAATGGTTATTTAATATGCCTGTGAATGTATAACACGGAGCTCAAATCAGTGACATAGTCCCAGTGAGCTATATAGTTGGGTTAGAGTAGAGACAGCCATTGCAGTGTTCCTTGGCAGAAGTTGGCTGTGGCTTTGAATTATAGTGACTTCCTTCTCTATGGCTTTTAGGTGGGTGGAAGTGTTTTTTCTTGTTACCCTAAGCACCAGTTTTTAAAGCATGAACTGCGTTTTGAACCAAATCTGGGAAACAGAGCTGGGTTGTTCCCAGTTGGACCAGGTACCTTTGTCTCAGATCTTACATCCAAATCCTTTCCTGTAAAGCTAATAATAACAGAGGGGTCATAGAAGCCAGGACATTGGATTTTTACCTCCCGATAGTCTGTGGAAGACACCTGGGGTCCCAGTTGAGTGTGAAGTCCAAGTCTTGGGTATTTAAGAGGCTGGAAGGCCACTGCTATTCAAAGAACCATTCAAAGGACTGTGTTGTTCAGGAACTTTCTGAGGCACCTTGGCACATGTTTTCTCTTCCTTTGTTTTAGCATTTGCCTTAAGGAGGTGAAACATGGTTGTGACTGTTACTATTTTTTAGTTTATCCTGCTGGAGAACCTCAGATGGTTTCAGCCCTCCATCAGTTTGTCTGATGCCCTGTTTTCTGGCACCTGGGTGATGCACATGGTGGGTTTAGGTCTTTAGATATTTTGAAAGGTGGATGTGAAGATGAGTGGGTAGGTGGTTGGCCACCCCCCCCCTTCTCCTCTGATCAGGGAAGACTGGGAAGAGGTTCAATTTCCCCTCCTGGCAGCAGTGTGCTACTTGACTTTTCTCCTGGAAGGATCTGCCTCATGACCTGAGGGTGGGTTTTATTTCTGTTTTAACCAGCTAAGGAGCTGCACTTAGCCTAGCCCTGTCCAAGGACTGCATGGAAGTACAAATAAACATACCCTGTTGTTTTTCACCTCAGAGGTTGTCTCTGGGGCTCCCTATTGGGATATGAGACGTTGTTTTGTTTTCTTGTTTTTGTTTTCCTTGATAGCTTACCAGGTTATGTATTTTAACATCTGTGAGGGAGGAAGGGGGGTGGGGCAAGCTGGTCAATTCCTTAAACCCGTCAGAAGCCAAAGCTGCCAGAATGAGTTGATAGTGGGCTTGTGTTGCCACCAACATGGTTTTTGTTGTTCTTGTTTTGGGGTATTGATGAAAGGTCTTATGTAGCCCAGGCTGGCCTCTACCAGTCTTGAACTATGCAGATAAGGACAACCTTGAACATTTGATGCTCTTGCATCTGTCACTTAAGTTCTGGGGTTACAGGCAAGGGCCACCTCACCCTGGTTATGTGGTGCTGGGAATAAAACAAGGACTTCATTCATGCTAAGTAAGTCCCCGCGACTGAGTGATGTTTATTTTATGCCTGATAGTTCTGAAGCAGTTGGGAGAATTTGGGGACTGGGAAATTGTGTGATGTGGTATTATTGTTTAAAAGCCTTGCCCATTTGCATGGGAGATGAAGGGACCCCAGAATTCATGGCCCAAGTCCCACATATGAAATGTTCATCTTGCCACTGAGAACAACTTGACTTTTTCCAAAAGCTCAGGTAGCAAGTAACAGCATGTCTTTCTATGGCTCCTGAGGTATCGATGATTTTCTAGGCACCATGGTGTGGGCTGAAGCCTGGATTCTAACTCAAGCTTTTCTCAACCCTTCCCAGCCTCATGGGTTGTGATGCTGAGTTTGTTCTGCCAGGGACTTTTGTGATTTAACACAATCACCACAGAGTTTGCCCATCAATACTCCCCCCTTCCTCAGATCTGATCATTGTATGGATAATACCCTGAACTTACTCTACAGTGGCACCAGCTATCTCTAAAGGACTCACTAATAGTCATGGTGAGAACTTTCAACAGATTTTGATCTTTGTGTGAAGATACAGGTTTGTCATAGTACACATGGGTGAAAAATCATAATGGGAATGCTATAAACCATTTGCTATTGCTGACTGGAGTGGTACAAACCCATGGGTGCTCATTTGTTGGACTCTGTGTTTGTTTATCATTTTGTACAAATACAAATGAAAAGATGAGCTATGACACATGTTAGAGTGTTGGAGCTGTATTAGTATGGGATACTTCCAGGGACAAATCTATTTTTGGCTATTGAGTTTTCTTTCCTTTCTTTTTCACTTTGCACTGTCTATTCAGCAACCAGTGAGGTGTTTTAAGGACTGCACCCGTCTTGCATTGGAATGGCTGTAAAGAATCTACTCTCTTGGCTGCTAAGGAGACTTCTCTATTCTTTTTGCTGGGTGGGTGGCCAGCTGCTGTGAAAATGCAACATTTGCTGGTCCTATTATTTGCTAGGTTGTTTAATATGCTCAGCAGAATGAGTAGACTCTTGAGTTGCTGTAACTGTTCATTCGAGAGGGATAACAAATGCTTATCTGAGTTAGGATTGTGAGGGTTCCCATAGCTGCTTCCAGGAATGAGGTTAGTCTAGTCTAGGGTTTCGTAGCCTTCGAGCCATTGGCATTTTAGAGTGAATAATTGTTTCTTGTGTAGGACTGTCTCATATGGTAACAGTAGGTCATCTCTCTGGTTACTACGACTTGAAAACCCCTTGTGTAGTTGGGTGCCAGCCTTTTTGCTATTCATTATGAGCATTGCTGCCACCTTAAAGATTTCTGCTGGATCTCATTGTACTTCACTGTTCTTGTCTTTATGCATCTGGATCCACCACAGGTGCAAAGATGTAAAAATACCCTGAACTAGAAATGGCCTGGGTGCCAGCCCTTCCCTCTCACTTTCCCATAGTGCTATGGTAAAAACATTTGGAATTTTTAACTGCAGTTTTGACTCCCTGGAGAGAGACATATGCCAATAAAGCTTGTCCTCGAGAGGTGGTAGCTAACACCAAAAGCCACCTGGCTCATTGAGTGTTAATCTTGGGATGTTCCTGTGATCAGAGAGTGTGGGCTGAAGGAGAACATGCTGCCTGGACTTTTGCCCTGAGAATCATGTGTTGAAATCTTAGCCCTGGGAGTCCCCCTTCCTCCACTCCACAGACCTAGGATTGCCCTTCTCGCCCCCTTTCTGTCTCTGTGATTCCTTCACTGGGTATCAAAAGCCTGTACAACTTGGGACAGTTCTGTAGTTTGCGAGGAACTTACCGCAAGGTGGTTTCTAGAAGTTTGCACTGTAGTCTGTTTTAAAGTTCCGTTCTGTGTTGCTTTATAATGTTGGAGTTCCTTTAAGGCTCCTCGCCTCGCAGCTGTCCTTTTCTTTGTTTGGTCCCCAGACTTCCTTAAGTTTTTTTCTTCCTCATCTCTTCAGATGAACTGTGTAACTGGTTGGCTCCTGCCTTCTTTGATGCTTGAGTTTTCAGGATAAAGGAAGCAGGCTCCCAAAGGGAAATGTGGGACTTCCATCCAGGCACATTTGTTTCAGTCTTTGAAAGCCTTTTCTACTGAGGAGCTCTGGCTTCCCAAGCTTTTGACTATCCTTTCCCGTCTGTCTGTCTGTCTGTCT